GGCTTTAGGTCCTTACATATCTAATACTTTGTATCTGTGGTTTATTGTAACTCTTAAAACCTCAGTCAAGTAAAAGGACTTGGATTTCATGGTTAGCCTTGACAATAAAACAGGTAAATAATGATTCATACATTTTAGAAATTATTGTCTTATGGTCTTGGTATAGAACATATTAGCTTTATTTAGGACAAGATGTTTCATAAATATTTCTAATAAAATAACTAGTATTTGTTGGGTTCCTGTATATGCCAGATGTTTACACAATACTTATGAGTTGGATATGACATTATTTCCAATTTGTAGAATTTAAAGAGTTAATGAAGTATAAGTACATGGCATGGCTAAGGTTCCAAACCCAGGTGCTCATCCAGTCTAGTGTGTTAATGCCTCTTAATTTTTCTGGGACTCATATTTTCTGGGGCTGTAACAAATTGGGCTTGGGAATCATAGTCTTTAAGGGTCTCTATTTTTGTGTGTGTGTTTATTGTGGGTCATTTTCACTATCCAAATTCTTTTAACTTTAATAGGACCAATACAAATGCCTGAACTTGACAAACATTTGAAAAGCAAATATCAATGAGAAACACATAAAAACCTTTAGCGAGTTCTCAGGAGTTTTCCTAAGTGCATCAGAGGAAGCTGAGAGAGGAATGTCTAGCTGACCATTAGCACATACTTTGTAAAGAGTCACAGAGGCGATGTTCTATAAAGTAGATTTGCATTTGTTAAAGGTCACTCTCCACTGAGTATTTGCACTTATATCTAAGACACAAGAAGGCCACTCTACCTCATTCTTCCAATTTGTCCGTTACGTGATCAATATCAGAGTCTAGACTAGGACGACTGTAGAATCTTGCTGCTGCTTAATTTCCCATAAGAGTAACTGGACTTCCTGAAACATCTGGGGTGGGCATCAGAAGGAAATGCATTGGAGTGACAAATGTCCTGATGCCACATTAAGATGCACAATTAGCAGAGCCGAGTGCTTCCTGTAATTTGGACTATTTTACTGGGATCTCCCAGCAAAATGTTTATATCTTCTTCACCAAATAAAGAAAATGCTACAAGAGTGAGTCACGGAGCCCTGCATTTGAAGAAAAGTCAGAGATGGATTTGGCATTTCACACTCTATCTAGCAACGGTCTGAAAGTGTCCCAAGCCTGCCAGCCTTCTTAGCTCTAACGGAGCCTCTTTGAAGGCTCTGCTCGGTCTCAGCCTTGAACACCAAAGTTATCTTTATTCAAGGGACTTAAAAGTGCTCCAGGTAAGTCCCTCTAGGGATGCAGCAGAGTTCTTGCTACTTGTCCTACCCTACTTGATGTCTTCAGGCCCAGTGTCTGGCCTCTGCCTTGCTGCGATTGTGCTCTAACTTATAGCTAGGTTTTTAGGTACTCAGCTCTCGTCTCTTCCCAGTGTTTGAATCCCTGCGTCTTTGAAGACTAGGCCCTTGAGGCCCCAGATCTAACTACACGTGAATATTTCTTCCAGTTAACAACAGCATATTGAATGCTTGCTATGTGCTAAGGTGCTGAAGACACAGCGATGAACAACATAGGGACGTTTTCTGTTCTCATGGAGCTTAGAGTCTAGTGGAAAGAGACTGAAATAAACATATAAATTATATAAACAAGACAGGCAAGATGGCTAAGAGAGACCCCTTCGAGGAGGTGGCAGATGACCAGACACTCAATGAGCAAAGGGAAGCACGTGTGCAAACAAGTGGGAGACAGTACTCAAGGCGAAGGGCATCGAAAACAAAATGAATGCGGAAGGCGCTGCTTGGTGTGCTTGAAGAAACCTGGAAGGCAGAGTGGGAGTGCATGAGGCTGTGGGCAAAGCCCAAGGTTCTGACCCGATTCAGTAACCCTGTCTCGAGTAGATCCCAGGTACTGTTTTTGTTAAAAGCTCCCAGTTACATTTGAGGACAACTGGTATAGCACCTTGGAGGCTGCAGTACAGATGTTTCATTAACCCCATCAGTGACAGAAGCGACTGGGGGGTTCTGAGCAGAAAGAGAATGTCCCGATTTGAACCGCATGTTAAATGGATCACTCTGCCGTGGGAGGAATGGAGTGTGGAGAGGCGAAAGCGGAAGCAGAAAAACGAGCTGGGAAGTGAATGCCGCAGTCCAGGAAATGGATGACCGTCCTTTGACTAGGTTCCCAGAAGTGAAACTGGTGAGCAATGGTTAGATAAAGGATATATATATTAATTATATATCATATATCATATATCATATATCATATATCATATATTATATATTCTTTTAGCAAAATAAATAGGCTTCCCCGATGGAATTGATGTGGAGTGTGAGAGAAATCACCGAGGATGATTCCAGGGGTTTGGGCCTGAATAATGGATAGATGGTGGGCTTTTACTGAGATGGAGGACATCAAGAGAGAAGTGTCACCTCCTCACATCTGGTCTCCAGCCAGCTCCTGTCCAGGTAAAGTCCAGGGAGAGAGCTGGAGTCAAGCACTGAATGACTGGTCTGTCTGTCTTTCAACCTTTTGCTTGACCTTCATTACCTTTAGAATGAATAATTTTTTAACGTGGTTTATAAAGCCCGCTACAATTCGTGTCTTCAGCCTTATTTCTCTCCACCCAACCTCTTGGGCGTCTGCCTCGGTCTTCTGGAAACTCTGTAAAAATCTCAGATATACCTTTGTATGTGTAATTCTCTTTACCTAGATTTTTTTTCCCTCTGATTTCACCTGGCAACTCCTACTCATGCTGTAGGTCTTGGATTCAATATCATTTTCTTCCATAAGCCTTCCTTGACTTTGCTCAGACCATTAGCTCTCCCATTTTTCCTTCCCCATCACCTCACGCATCACTCATTTCTATTTAATTGTCATGTTTGTTATTTTATATAATTCTGTATTTTCCCCTGCATTGTGATTTCCATAAGTGTTCACCCTTGTGCTTAGCACCTGGTCTTAGGTACCTAATAAGAGCTGACAGTTTCTGAGCTCTTACCAGGAACCCCGGGACCATGCTGTAAGGGTCAACTGTCTGTTCCCAGGTCGATCCCTCACCCGGATACATCCTTCTGTGTGTTATAGAGAAGTGGGTGGAGCCAACGGAAGCCCTAGTGGGAAGTGTCAATGTCCTTGCCCACCCTTTGGTGACTCTGGCTACAGCCGATTCTCCTCTAAAACTCGACCTTTTACCTGACAGCCCCTTCCCATTTGTTATCGTGCAGTCTCCATCATTCTGGATCCTTGCAACCCTTTGGTGACTCTGGCTACAGCTGATTCTCCTTTAAAACTCTACCTCTTACCTGACAGCCCCTTCCTTTAAGTTCCCATTTGTTATCGTGCAGTCTCCATCATTCTGGCTGTCATTCACAGCCTTAGTTTCTGTGCTCTGCTAAGCTTTCCAGTCTCCCTTCTCTCTTAGCAGTGGGGCTGACTTCCTTGTGCTGTGCAACTCTGAGTTGCTTCACTGTCCCATATTTCACTTCTCAGATTATTCATCACCTGAGTAGCTAATTCCAAGTGTTAAATTCTCTTTATTGAAAGATCTAAAGTGGTTCCTGTTACTTGGCTAGACACAGCTAGATACATATGTAAAGTATTTTATGTAAAGTTTAATCCTGGAACTGATCAGTGGGTGTGTTGGGTGCGTAGGGACTATCATAATTATTACCATCGTTCAGTTGAGAAAATTCCATTAAGAGAATGTAAGTGACTCATTCGACATTAAATAGCTAGTAAGTGGCGGAGTTTAGTTTTGAATCTCAGCAGTTTGACTCCAGAAACCACACCACCAGACTCTCATGTCATATTGTCTTATTGGATTAAGTGGCTCGACTCTGATTCCTCCTGTCATTGACCTATAGTGTGCCTTTCTGAAGTTCGCACCCTTACTCTTTTTCTAGCTTCTAAAAATAACCTCGATTATAAGATTAGCCTCTTCTGGGTCTGACATCTAATGGAATTTTTCCTTCCTCCCACCCCTGACAGTCTGCTCTCAGCATGGCATCCATTTTTTAAGGCTGAGTTGATCAAACTCCCCGGGTCTTGTCCAAGGTCGAAAAGTAGGAAACAGGAAAGGCCACTTTCAAGTCCAGGTTAATTTGAGTTTCAGTTCCAGCTCCATCATTTTCAAACAGAAATGCCTAGAATAACTTCTTTGCCTTCATTAGTATGAGATGGAGGCACATCACTGGCTGCTGAGAAGAGAGAGTTAATATATGCTAACCGTAACAGTTCCTTGCACATAGATGGTACCTTACCGTTAGCTGTAATTAGTGACAATATATTAGATTTACCTATTTGTTCAACTGCTTATTTGACATCTTCACTTGGTCACATATTGTAAACTCAATATTTTCTCTCTCGTCATATCTGTTCTTTATTCGGTGTCTTCTGTTTCAATAAATGGCACCCCCATACATTCAAATATGTAGAGTGACTCAGTCCTCTTCCTAAATTTCCACACCTGTCAGTCATGAAGCTCATCTGTATCTATATAGGGTATCCAGTTCATCTTGGTTTGCTTAGAGCTGTCTCACTCTTAACACGGAAAGTTCCCTGTTCTGGGAAAATAGGGAACGTTCATCATTCTAGGTTTATCTCTTAAATATTTCTAGATAATTTTACTCATCCCCATTCCTACTCTGATCTGCCATTTTGCTGTCCCCTGGGCTGCCACAGTGGCTTGCCAACTGGTCCAAGCTTCTATTTTTAGCCTCTTTATTTTATGATCTACTATATTCAGATTACTCCTTTAAAAGACAAAAATCTGACTTTAGTCACTTTTCTTAAAATACTTTAATGGTTTCCCATTTCCCTTGCGATAAAACCCCAGATCTTTAACTGGTCTATATTTCTCTGTATGATTTGTCTCTTTTCTTTCTTTCAAAACTCATACCTCATAACCCTCCTGCCTTTATATCTTCACCCTACTTACTATACTCCAGAAACCGTGGATGTTACTTAGTAAAATTGTTGACAGGGCTGGCACTTATGGCTTGGCGGTCACGTATTACTCACCTCCAGGAGTTCCCCTGCATCTCGTAGTCATGGTTGAGCTATATGGTTTTTTTTAAGTACTTCGAGGAAGGCGTCCTGTACCTGTAAGGATAGGCTACGTTAAGTCCTAGTAACAAACAATTCCTAAATTTCAGTGGCTTAACCAAAAGTCTGTTTCCTGCTCTCATGTAACGTACTGTAGGGCCAGGGCGATGCTCTTCCGTTCTTTGCAATCTCAGGATGCTTTCATTTTTGCCGTTGCCATTTTAGTACAAGGCTGCCTCTACAATTGCTGAGTCATAGGAAGAACATGCTGAAGAATCTTGCATTAAAGTTTAATTAGGGTGATCTGGAAGGGACACGTGGCGCTTGTCTCCAGAGTCGTCATTGACAAGAGTAGTCACATGGCCCCACCCAACCAGAC